CTACTCCTGAGTTAGATGAATTTAGGCTTATTGAAGCTGCTGGGTTTAAGCATACATAAATATAACTCTCCTCATGAGAAGAGAAGACTCCCTGGAAAAGACCCTGATGTTGGGAAAGATTGAGGGCACAAGGAGAAGGGGACGACAGAGGATGAGATGGTTGGACAGTGTTCTTGAAGCTACCAACATGAGTCTGACCAAACTGCAGGAGGCAGTGGAAGACAGGAGTGCCTGGCGTGCTCTGGTCCATGGGGTCACGAAGAGTGGGACACGACTAAACAACTGAACAACAACAACAACAACTATACAGGACTACACCCATTATTTACATAGAGGACTTTCATTTGGGATAGACAGCCTAGATCAGCATTTTCCCAAGCCAAATGGTTTGTGTGTGGGTATATTCAATGCAGGGACGCGGACTTATAAAAAATATTGGGGGGGCCCGGGAAAGCTCATGAATAATAAATAAGCTCATGAATATGCAAATAAAGTGGCGCCGCCTCCTCGTGAGCGAATAGGGGAGAGCGTGCTGCGCCTATTAATCAGCTCCAAAGGAAATTGGGTGGAGCTTTTGCTCGGGAGGGAGCGCAGGAGGCATGCAGCCCACCCCTCCCTGTGCATTTTGGGCTGGGGGAGGGGCGGCGATGGCGCTCTGCTGGAGGGGCGCCGGAGATTATTGGGGGGGCGGAGCCCCCCCAAACGAATTTTTGAGGGGGCTCGGGCCCCCTCAAGCCCCATGGAGTCGGCGCCTATGATTCAATGAGATAGGATCCACCTTAAATGGCCCGTGCTTGTGTGTCTGTGTGTGTGGTGGTCTTGGTGGGGAGGGAGAGACATTAAGTATAAGTATGTGATTATATGTGTTAGGGTGAAAGATTATATAATATATAAACATGGAAGAATGAAAGAACTGTGTTTTTCTTCATATTGCATTTTCAATAATTTTTTTAAAATTTTAACAGTAAACTACTTTGATTATATAATTTTTCACTGTTAAAAGTTTGTTCCCTATTAATTTATTTCATCTTTATGTACAAAACGAGGGACGCGGGTGGCGCTGTGGGTTAAACTACAGAGCCTAGGACTTGCTGATCAGAAGGTCGGCGGTTCAAATCCCTGTGACGGGGTGAGCTCCCGTTGCTTGGTCCCTGCTCCTGCCAACCTAGCAGTTCGAAAGCATGTCAAAGTGCAAGTAGATAAATAGGTACCACTCCAGCGGGAAGGTAAACGGCGTTTCCATGCACTGCTCTGGTTTGCCAGAAGCAGCTTAGTCATGCTGGCCACATGACCCGGAAGCTGTACGCCGGCTCCCTCGGCCAATAAAGCAAGATGAGCGCCGCAACGCCAGAGTCGGCCATGACTGGACCTAATGGTCAGGGGTCCCCCCTTTACCTTTACGTACAAATATGCACACATAAAAACCAGAAAATCTAGAAGTATCTCTGAAGGTGCTATGGAAACATTTATAAAAGAAGCATCCTGGAAAATGTTTTCTATATGATTGGAAATATGACTGATGCAATTCAAAAACAAAACAAAACAAAACATTTCAATAGACAGAAATTTTCAACCAGTGTGCCATGGCACCCTGAGGAGTCTTGAATGATGATCAGGGGTGCCACAGACAACATTGGCGTCTATCCCTTTTTCCTTCCCTTCCTCCTCTGATGCTCTTTCATGTCTCTGTCTCCCAAAGGCTTGCACCGCTGTTTGTTGCAGCAGCCCTGGCTACATGCGCAGCAGGTGAATGGTGCCTCTGGGGTTGGCCAGGGGGTGCTGGTTGCCAGGAGCTGAGGCAGCCTTGGAGTAAGCAAGTGGGTGACAGAGCCCAGCTAGCCAGTCCACCAGCCCTTGCTGTTGGGAATGGACTAACAATTGGGAGACTGGGTGGGCAGGCACTGGCCTTTCTTGTGCTTGCTGTGTGCAATGCCTGCCTGGGAGCTGAGTGCCCAGCGCTGAAGGGGAGTTTTCCGAGTATGCAGGCCTGGTGGCAACTGCTGCTGCCACTGCTGCCTTCCATGGTGAGTAAGGTGCTGGCCTCACATTCACCCTTTGGCCAGTCTCTGTTGGTGTTATTCCCTTCCCCGGCCTCTGTGGCACCTTGCTTGAAGGAAGGGGGGGGGCAGCTGCTGTCCAGAGGACTCCCAAGGAGAGGAGAAAGAAAACACTCCACAAGGGTTGAGGGCTTGCTGGCTCTGCAGGCAAGTGGGGACATAACTGGGCTTCTGTGGCTTGGAGTGCATTTCCCCATTGAGGAACCTCAGAAAAAATGTAGTTGGTCAAGGAGGCCATGGACTCAAAAAGGTTGAAAACCTCTGTCTTGGATACAAACAATTGGCACCTTAATAAAAGCATAGGAATGCAGTGTGATATGAGACTAACATACGGATTCTGTAGGGAAATGTGTTTTAAAAATTACACCATTTTAAAGATCTACAGAGTATTCACTTTAAGCATACTAAACTTTTTGGAATGCTTCTCTGATAAAAGGTTTCACAGCATCTTTTGTAGTTCATCTCTGTTTTTAATGGGTTTTGGTATCTGATTCCTTCTTTATGTTCTAAACCAGAAAGGGAGTGAAAGCATCCTTTTTCTTCAGTGCAAAACTTTAATACAATCGGCCATAAAAGCCAGAAACAGCTTTTCAGCTTCATGAAAGAAGTTTTGACTTAGTATCCAAACACTGAGGTAACTTTTCCTTTCCAACATCACCTTCATCTGATCTCCTGAAAGTCAAGGGCATGAAAAGCTGTAATGGCGTGTTTTGATAACACTCATATCACCAATAACTAGGAAACAGAACAGCCCGGACTTTTATAAACATTACCTCAGATGTGTTGTTAGAGACAACATGTTTGCTGAAGCTTTCAGAATGAACTGAGCCCACAAGTCATGTATTTGTGACCAGTAGTGGATTTATTTCCTGCTAGGACTGGAAAATGGAGTAGTACATTATACTGGTTGCACATACCGAAACGATGAAATGAGGCCATCAGTATTTTGTGTAAATAAGCACAAGCCTTCTCTGGTTTGAAGGACAAAAGGGTGTCAGAAAATGCAGATAATGGAAAATCCCTGGGCCCAACTTAAGAGACTGTAGTTGGGATACAAAAACCAGTTCTTACAGACAGCGGTGCTTAGTACTGCAAGCAGATCACTTTGATCTCACAAATTAATAATTGGCAACTGGTTTTTTTCCTTCTAAATAAATTTACTGGATTTTCCATGGAAAGACTTGTGTGCATGAGCAGCACCTATTCCACAACAAAAACCCGTCTGGAAGAACCCCAAGAGTGTATAAACCATTTCGCTGTTCCATTTCTGGCCAATGCCCCTGAAAGCTCTAATATAAAGTATCTTCTTTTTCATTCAAGACAAAATAGGACATAAGATACAATTTAATGGTCAAAAGTGTGTGAACTTTTCCTTTATTAATACCAAGTGATGATTCACACCACTGAATCCTGCAGATAATATTTAATATAGTACTGCAAGCAGATAATATTTTAAAAGGTCCTGTAAATATAGACATGGGAAAGGAAGACTCACCTGTAAGCAGATAGCCTCATGAACAGCTAAGCTTTCACTGTACTGATCAGGACAAAAACAACAGTGGATGCATGCCCAAATTACAAGTCAGTGCTTGAATTAGATGAGGTCCAGAAGGGGCTTTTGATTTCCAGAGTTGACTGTTCTCACACTTTTATTATTTTTATTATTAACCTATACAGCTTCATCAGTGCAAACAACATTTTAACAAGAGTCTCACAAGACAGCTTAGAGCCTTTTCCTTTTATTTTTGATTGAGCAGTCTATAAACCTTGTTAAATAATCAAGCAAATAAATTAATAAAAGTAGTCAGGACTTTGCTCAATGATCTTGCAGTCCTAAATTGTGAACGGTGTGAATTCCAAGGTCTGGAGTTACTATAACTCTACAAAATCAAGGTGTGGAATAACCAACACCCATATAAGTCAGACTTCAATTGATAATTGAAAACAGAATCCAGTTGGCAAACAATGTCATTTTCTTCTCCAAACAGAATTCTGTACCAGTTAAACAATTCAAGCATTTATTGTCTTAAAAAATTACCTTCATATTTTAATTTATAATTTTAATTTAATTTTGAATACATGACTACTTTAAAAATCTTTTTTAAAAGTGATTATAAATGGAGCAATATATAGGGAAACACTTATAAGACTAACTGCTGAAAAATTAGCCTGGCTAACCACAACTTCTTCCCGGCCTGAAAACTATATATTTACTCTATAATGTCTCTCTCTCTATATATAGAGCCACAACACATGGGTTACTCTGGTCCATTGTAATAATCAGTTCTTTTATGCAGTTTGCTTGCTTCAAAAAAATCAAAGTACTAATAAGGCAATAAACATCTTAAGATTTATGTAGTGCCCTAGATTCAAGTAAGAGCTTCTTCTCAAAGGTCTGGAAATCAAAAGAGCAGATGGCCACAAATCCTTTGAGAAATACTCATCCCAAAATATATAGGAGGATTAACTAAAGCAAATTTGTCTTCCTGCTCTTTCAACAGTCCCTTCCATCCAAAGCTCCTTACAAATATCAATAGTAAGTGACACAACAATTCCATCAAGCCATTACTCTGATATGATAACATGGACAAAACAGTGGCGAAATAAAAAGAAAAAGAAAAAAACAGAATTTGGCAAAGGGGTAGCAAAAATGGAATAGGAATAGAAGGCTAACTGGAAACAGAGAGTGCGCAGAACCGGGAAAAAAATGTACCGAGATTTGGGAAATAATGGTAAACAAATGAGCTTTGAAAAGGGATTTAAAGGAGTTAACAGGGCTTGGTTGGTTGATAGAAATGGTACACTGCTCTAGTCATGGTAAGAATATGGTGGAAGTCATGAAAATAGGTGTGGGAGAAAGGAACACGGAAAGCTGATAGTATATTATTTTTGTATAGTGATGTGCAAAAGGGAATAGGAAGTGATGAGGAAAGAGGTTGACTGTCAGAGAATTCTACTACTAATACCTCATACAAATATTTATAGGAGCAATGCGAGTACAGCCATAGCAGGTTAATCACTTTCTACAAGACCTTGTACATGTCCCAATAGGCTCCTAAACAGTCTTCCCAGCACATGCAGCCCTGGAACACCATGTAGTTAATTTCTAAATATATCTAAAATTGAGACAACAGACAATAGAGAAGCATGTTTTCCCTATTACAACCCGTAATTAGGAGCACATACATTAATCTATCTTAGTAGAAGAAACACTGGGATGCGGTAATTTAGCCATAGCTGTTAATATATTAAGGTTTGGTTTTTTTAAATGCAAGACAATATGAAGATGTTTGGATATAAAGCTGCCACATTATCTTCAAAAACACATATTAGACAATTTGATCCCACCCCAATAAAAGTGCTGGATTGATGCCATATGAAAACTAGACTTACTTCAACTACACACACACACACACACACACACACACACACCCTGTTGTCATTTTGCTGTAGTAGATTCAGCTGCAGTCATACACAGTGAGTTTTGCCTTTGGATGGGTGTTCTGATTTGAATGAAAATGTGCATCCAACCAGTTTGACAGCGCTCTGATAGTATCAGAATCTGGATCTGAAATTTATTTCTAAAATTAAGAACACATATCTGTGCTTCAGATAATATCTGATTGCTATGCTGACCAATGCGAACTATGAAGACATTTCCTTTCCCAACACAAAAAATTCTTTGATAGCAAAATAAACATTCACAAGCATTCACAAGTTGTCTCTCAAAATGAAGCTTTTGCACTATATCATAATATTAAATTGAATATTTTTATTTGTAGTTTATTCTTTTTAAAGGATACCTCCTGGAGAAAATTCTTTTCAAGGAAGGTAGAAGACAGCATGGTTATATTAGCTGAAAGAAATAAAATTAATACTGCTGTTTGAACCATTAAGTGGAAAGAGATATTTACAAGAACAATATCAACCTCATGAAACATTTACTAGAAAGGCTTTACTTATCTGAATTCTCTTAAATGCAGTAATTAATAATGTTCATTCATGTTCAGGCAGGCTAATTCTAGACACCCATCCTCCAGAGACCAATTGTGTAAATGTGTAGTCTCAGTAACACTCAAGAAGAAATGATTCCTTACAACCTGCTCTGTAATTTCTCTCAAAAATATTACTTTTTTCACATAGCCTTTGCTCCTTATTGTATTCAGAATTGTGGTTTTTCTTTAATAAAAAAGAAGTGGTCACAAAAGTATAGTTTCTAGCTATAAAACAGTGTGTTCCCCACGCTGACAAGTTCTTCATTGTCATGCCATAGTATCTTGTGAAAGTACAAGCAGTAAAAGCATTGTATAATATTCATTTAGGAAGACACCTTCTACAAAGCAATTCAAGAAGTAACTTTTAAAAATCGTTGGGACCTACTTCACTTATGTATGCATGAGGCTCACAGAAGATCATTTTCTTTTCATATTCCTTCCTTAAGCAATCTAATATCCTGACCCTGTCCAGTGCAGTCCTGAGAAATTGTCTTCTTTCTCAAAATGAGTCCCTGCTGGGCAATTTATATAAAGCAATAAAATCTGCAAAATATAAAGACAAAATATATTTTTGCATATAATATTAGCATTGTCAACATGAAAGACTTTATCTACTGGTCAGAAAGGAAATATTCTAAATAGTGTCATTTGTTTGTGGGAATGCACAAAATAGTTTCAACAACTAACACTTGGTGTTTCTTTGCAAAATAAGCCTTTGCTGGGTGCTGAAGCTCAATGTGTTTGTGCCCACTTGTGTCTATGTACTCTTGCAAACAAGTCTGTACAGAGGAGAAAGGTCATTGACTAGAAGAGTGCCTGCTGGCTTTACATTGGGCGATGTTAATTTTGCACCCCAACCAAAGAGGAATAACAGGTGAATCATTATGAGATGTGAAGGTGAAACTTTCATTGGTCCATTATTTTACTGCATTTTCCAAGATGCAGCCACGTTAGTCTGTTGCAGTAAGGACTACAAAGAGTCTTGTAGCGCCATAAATATTAACAGATGTATTAGCTTTTGTGAACTATGGTCCATTTCATCAGATGCACAAAGTGTTATCCTGAGTTGCAAGTTAATTTACCCAACCTATAACTCAGGATAACATTTCATCCCTCCAATGAAGTATACTGTAGGATACAAAAGCTTTTGCTATAGTAGAGTTGTTAGTCTCTAAGGTGTCACAAGACTTCGTGTTGTTTTTAATGTGGTTTGTCCTAATTTTTGTCACATTTGCTCCATAATTAACAATGGTCAGTGTTTTTATTAAAATACAACACCCTGAATCCACAACACTACCGTTCTAACACAAGAGGGCTTCCTCATTCACTTCTATGAAGATGTCAGATTCAGCTTATGCCAAGTGATGTTTGCATTTAAATGTTTACTGAGAAGCTCCAGGGTATTAAAACTCTCCATGTGCATGCCAGAGCTGATTTATCTGAAATATTTATTACATGTTCTTCATTGCGATAGGAATCACACAGCTGATTACATAAAAAGTTAAAATACAGCATATATAATTAAACAGCAAGAATAAATACATGGCATAACTTTCAACAACCAGAAAAAAATAATTACTTGCTGTTGTACTGATCAAAGGTTGCTGAGATACATCATATTCTATAAGCCCAATCTCAACTTTTTAGCATATTATATATTGATACTGAACTCATTTCTCTGAGTGCCAACCTTCATGAAACCAAGTAGTCAGGAAAATGCCTTATACTGAGTCAGACCATTGGTCTGTGTAGCTCAGTATCCATACTTAAACATGGAGAAGTTAGCAGGCTTGGGGGAACTCCAAGCTTTGCAGAAGTACAAAAAACTCAGTGTGGGGGAATAGAGGCTATGTTCAAATGCAGCTATGGAAGCTAGCCTTCTGCAGCACTTACTTATCTCTGGTTTGGGGTCATAGCAGATAAATCATTACATGGCAAATTCAAAACCACAGAAAATACGGCACTCTCTGATCTACTTATTGAAGTTGTAGTAATGCCCGATAAAGTTTGTTTATATTTCCCATATTTTCCCCTAACTAACCCACCACCCCCATATCACGTAGCACATAAAGGTTAATGATCGAACACTCCTGCAATGTGCGATAAAAGCAATGCAGGAATAGTATTTGAAGCATTTCAGACAGCTCCCAGAAACTCTCTTTTTACAAGGACAATACAGCAAAAACAACTTAATACCGCAACATTACAAAGTAATAGCTTGTGCAGGATGGTTGGAGACTTTATCACAGTCACTGGGGAGTTAAAACAACAGCTGGGGTTAGCAAACCTATCAGAAGCACCACTGATAGATCCATGTTCTTGCGAGTAACTTGATAATCTCTCTGTTGTCAGGGTCAACTCTTTTGAAACATATTTTTATTGAATTGAGAAGTTTTCAATTGTATTATTCAGTGCCACTTCAGAAAAAAACTTGGAAGAATATTATGTCTCAATCATTTAAAAATGATTTTACTCTGAATCAATGTGCAGCAAAATTGTGATGAGTCCCAAGAATAAGGCCTGTGCTTACAAAAAAAAACTTTCATCCATCATTTTACTTCTAAATGTCAGCGTATTTACTTGAGAAGGAGCCAAGGCTCATGATGAATATAAAGCAGAAAAAGGGAAATTTCACTGGAAGCCTTGACAATTCTATAGCTGCTTAATTCACTGCAAGGTGAGTTTGGCAGTCAAATGCTATGGTCATAAACAATGCCCATAAGCATGCTTCTAGCATAGTAAAAAAATGTGTGGAAATCTGGACTGAAATTATATTAATCTTTATTTATTTATTTAATTTATCCCGCTTTTCAACACTAAAATTATTCCCAGGTTGGTTCATGTAATGTATCAAAGTACAACAATAAATATAACTCAAAGCACTAGTTTGTATCCAACTAGGTCTTACTCAGAGTTAGGGATGAATATTATGTTGGACAGTTCCAATAAAACAGGAGTGGAAATGGCGGTTGTTCACTTATTTGTCCCATGTCCAGAATGGAAATCAAGGCAGCAAGCCAGAATGGTATTCACCATGGTTGATGTTTTCAGTCAGCAAATGTTATATAATCCATAAAATTGCCATCCTTTTGCCTTGAAATGGAGTGGAATAATGTAATAACATAATTTATGTAATTAATTACATAATTTCACTATTGCAGACAGTGAGTTGAATAATGTTGGTTTTGGCAGAAGATGAACTGCAGGAGAACGGAGACAGTTCTGAATGCAACAAATTTGTTGTTGTTTAGTCGTTTAGTCGTGTCCGACTCTTCGTGACCCCATGGACCAGAGCACGCCAGGCACTCCTGTCTTCCACCGCCTCCCGCAGTTTGGTCAGGCTCATGTTGGTAGCTTCAAGAACACTATCCAACCATCTCATCCTCTGTCGTCCCCTTCTCCTTGTGCCCTCCATCTTTCCCAACATCAGGGTCTTTTCCAGGGAGTCTTCTCTTCTCATGAGGTGGCCAAAGTATTGGAGCCTCAACTTCACGATCTGTCCTTCCAGTGAGCACTCAGGTCTGATTTCCTTAAGAATGGATGCGTTTGATCTTCTTGCAGTCCATGGGACTCTTAAGAGTCTCCTCCAGCACCATAATTCAAAAGCATCAATTCTTCGGCGATCAGCCTTCTTTATGGTCCAGCTCTCACTTCCATACATCACTACTGGGAAAACCATGGCTTTAACTATACGGACCTTTGTTGGTAAGGTGATGTCTCTACTTTTTAAGATGTTGTCTAGATTTGCCATCGCCTTTCTCCCAAGGAGCAGGCGTCTTTTAATTTCGTGACTGCTGTCACCATCTGCAGTGATCATGGAGCCCAAGAAAATAAAATCTCTCACTGCCTCCATTTCTTCCCCTTCTATTTGCCAGGAGGTGATGGGACCAGTGGCCATGATCTTCGTTTTTTTGATGTTGAGCTTCAGACCATATTTTGCGCTCTCCTCTTTCACCCTCATTAAAAGGTTCTTTAATTCCTCCTCACTTTCTGCCATCAAGGTTGTGTCATCTGCATATCTGAGGTTGTTGATATTTCTTCCGGCGATCTTAATTCCGGCTTGGGATTCATCCAGCCCAGCCTTTCGCATGATGAATTCTGCATATAAGTTAAATAAGCAGGGGGACAATATACAGCCTTGTCGTACTCCTTTCCCAATTTTGAACCAATCAGTTGTTCCATATCCAGTTCTAACTGTAGCTTCTTGTCCCACATAGAGATTTCTCAGGAGACAGATGAGGTGATAAGGCACTCCCATTTCTTTAAGAACTTGCCATAGTTTGCTGTGGTCGACACAGTCAAAGGCTTTTGCATAGTCAATGAAGCAGAAGTAGATGTCTTTCTGGAACTCTCTAGCTTTCTCCATAATCCAGCGCATGTTTGCAATTTGGTCTCTGGTTCCTCTGCCTCTTCTAAATCCAGCTTGCACTTCTGGGAGTTCTCGGTCCACATACTGCTTAAGCCTGCCTTGTAGAATTTTAAGCATAACCTTGCTAGCGTGTGAAATGAGTGCAATTGTGCGGTAGTTGGAGCATTCTTTGGCACTTCCCTTCTTTGGGATTGGGATGTAGACTGATCTTCTCCAATCCTCTGGCCACTGCTGACTTTTCCAAACTTGCTGGCATATTGAATCTAGCACCTTAACAGCATCATCTTTTAAAATTTTAAATAGTTCAGCTGGAATATCATCACTTCCACTGGCCTTGTTATTAGCGATGCTTTCTAAGGCCCATTTGACTTCACTTTCCAGGATGTCTGGCTCAAGGTCAGCAACCACACTTCCTGGGGTATACGAGACATCAATTTATTTCTGGTATAGTTCCTCTGTGTATTCTTGCCACCTCTTCTTGATGTCTTCTGCTTCTGTTAGGTCCTTTCCACTTTTGTCTTTTATTATGGAAATCTTTGTACAAAATGTTCCTTTCATATCTCCAATTTTCTTAAACAGATCTCTCGTTTTTCCCATTCTATTGTTTTCCTCTATTTCTTTGCATTGCTCGTTTAAGAAGGCCTTCTTGTCTCTCCTTGCTATTTTTTGGAAATCTGCATTCAATTTCCTGTATCTTTCACTATCTCCCTCGCATTTTGCTTGCCTTCTCTCCCCCACTATTTGTAAGGCCTCGTTGGACAGCCACTTTGCTTTCTTGCATTTCCTTTTCATTGGGATGGTTTTAGTTGCTGCCTCTTGTATAATGTTACGAGCCTCCATCCATAGTTCTTCAGGCACTCTGTCCACCAAATCTAAATCCTTAAACCTGTTCCTCACTTCCACTGTGTATTCATAAGGGATTTGACTTAGATTGTATCTTACCGGCCCAGTGGTTTTTCCTACTTTCTTCAGTTTAAGCTTGAATTTTGCTATAAGAAGCTGATGATCTGAGCCACAGTCAGCTCCAGGTCTTGTTTTTGCTGACTGTATAGAGCTTCTCCATCTTTGGCTGCAGAGAATATAATCAATCTGATTTCGATGCTGCCCATCTGGTGATGTCCATGTGTAGAGTCGTCTCTTGTGTTGTTGGAAAAGAGTGTTTGTGATTACCAGC